GCTTCTTGCTGGCAGGGCATGGGAAGCTGAAAAGTCCTTGACTAGTGCAAGCACTACTTAGCAACAACTAAAACATCGGTGCGTTATCAACATTATTCTCATACTAAATCCAAAACACAGCACTGTACCAGCTACTAGGAAGGAAATTAACTCTACCCCTGCCGAAACCAGGACACAGTGAAAAAAAAAAATTGGAAGAAAGAGGGTGTCTTTATAGACAATGTATCCCATATCTGATGTATCTCTAAATTGTGACACTGGCATTAGCTTTCCCATTTGTGATAGACTAGTAACCCTGCTGTAATAAAGCAGTGACTGAAAACGTAAAAATGAAGTTGAGAAAGCACTTTGTGTATTTTTAGTCATCTTCTACAGCTATGATTTTAATTACAAGAGAAGACAGTGTGATGAATCAACTTTTCACTAATTGCAAGCATATGCTCTATCCACCCCCCTCTCAGAATTTCTTCTGCATTTAAACTTTGAAGGCTAAACTAAATAAAATTGCAAGTGGTTACACTTTAAAGTCACTACACCAAACGCCAATCTCTTCTGTGCCTTGGTGTAGGATGGTCTCTTCTGAAAAGATGGATAAATTAGAATATTAATTAAATATGAAATATAAATTGTACCTGCAGTTCTTCCAGGAGATCAAAGTTTTGTTTCCGCAAGCTACTGTTTGCCTTCTCTAATTTATCCAGTCTCTGATTGTCATTTAAAGATGAATCTATAAGCTCGTCTTGAAGCACATGGTATTCAACTTCATAAGCTTGCAACTGCTTGGCAATATCCATTTCAAACACCTGTTGTATATAAAAATATTATTAGGGGCTGTGCAGATCAAAAACATAGCTCATTCAATGCTTTCAAATCTATGGATCTAGATTTAGATGTCTAATCACTGCATACAAAAAAAGGACTTAATTCTTGGCATTCATATTTCCTACTCTGGAAATGGCAAGATTGAGGCAGTAGAGTGCAATACATTGGCATTGGATCTACTTAAAAACTTTGCTACTGATTTGCTGCAAAATCACTTACACTAAAATTTTCAAGAAGTGTAGACTTTGTAGGGTATTCCCCTTTTTAGATTTCAAATTCAATGCATCTCAGTTCGGCATAAACCCTCCTAGACATTCTTGGAATTAGGTGTCACTGTAGAAAAGTGTGGTCCAAGCCCATGTGCCACATGTACAAGTGTAAGGCTAAGTAGAATGAAAGCTTTAAATGAAAAATAGTAAACATTGCTAGGTTTATTTATGATTCTATAGTATTCGTAGAGACTGAAAGAAAACGAAATAATCTGTCCTTACCACTAATACACTTAATGGAAACATTATGTAATGTCAAAGCAGATTTCTATTATTGTTAACTATGAATCACTGAAACGAGTGCTCAGTCTTATACATGAATATTAAGAAAGCCTTTTATTTTACAAGCAGATAAATAAAATGAGGTGCAAAGAGTGACCCAAAGGAAAAAACTGCTATTGTATTTTCCTTTTTCTAGGTTTTGGCAAACATCTACCTTCAAATTATTCAGGAAATATGTCTCTAATGTTCCTGAGCTAGTTATCTCCTCTGAAAGCAGTGAAGAAAGTGGTAAATTAAAAGGACAAGTGTGCCAATCACAGAACATAGTAGAAACAAAAGTTGATTTAAAAAGGCATCTGGAAAACAGCCCAAGAATAGAAGTTCAAGTGTTATTTTATATTTTTAAACCTCTTGTACTTTATTCCTTTTGGAAATGAGTCAAATATCAAATCCTATCTTAAATACCTGTTGAAATAACAAGAATTATTTCCTATTTTATTTATCTGCTTTGTCTACAAAACTTTAACTGTTGGTTATAGTTAAAGAAAGCATCAGTTTATGAAATGTTTCTGACACCTGTTACATAAGCTATAAAAAATTATCTCATAGTTGTATAGCAGCAGAAACACATATACTGAGCATCTAAGTACAGAAGGCTGAAATACAATTTCAATTTGAGTTTGGTTACACATATGGAACTTTCATTTTCTGTAGATCTGAGCGTCTCTAGAGAACAGAGACTGCTGAAATTTCAGTAAAACAAACGGTGCAATTCAGCAGGGCAGAATGCTAGTTCCTCTCATGCCCTCTGCCGCTACTAGTCTCTGTGCTCTTGAGAAGGGAGGGAAATCCCTGCTGTCATACCCAGAGTATCAAATCTGAAAGGGGGGAAACCGTGAGACAAATTAAAAGCTTGACTTGAAAACTAGCTAACTGAAGGCACGTTAGGGCATGTAAACCAAAGGCCATGCTGCAGAAGGCATGAGGAGGATGGGGATTAGCCCAAGAGCTATGTATGGACTGCAGGGCTGGTCAAACAGCTGCTCTTTTCAAAGGCAGCCCTGATTAAAGTGGGGGAACTGCTCTCCCTTCAAGTAACTTCTACCTGCCCACTTTAAATTTAGAGCGGTCAGAGCTGCCTAAACAGAGTACTTCCTCCTTCTGCTCAATGCCAATGGTTTTCTGCAGGTCGCCTAAGCACTGCAAGTCTCTGCAGAGCCGTGCACTCCAGGCTTTCAGCCTGGCCGATAACATACAATCCCCTTTGCCCCCTAGAAATCGCTTGCTTTCCTTCCCCTCACACAGGCTTTCTAGTTCTCCCCTCCTTCCTTTGACAGTAAGCACTAGAAGCAATTCTTCTGATCCTAATTCGAGCGCATGTCCCCTGGAAGCTTTGCTGCCAGGGATCAGAAGGGAGCCCTTTGCAAGCATTCTGCAGTGTACTGCGCTGCTGCTTGCTTTCTTTATCAAGCCACAGGCTTTGCAGGTCTCCTGCAGCCCTTGGTGAGTGGCAGGCATTTGCAGTTCTGCACAGTACATCCCCCATGTTTTAGACCACAAAAGGCCTTCAGGAAAACAGGCTAAAACCCATCTTCTATTTGCCGGCTGCAAATTAGAAGTCAAGTGTAACAGTTAGGGATTCCAAGCAGGCAAGCCTTAACTGCAATAATTTTTGATTTTTTCAAATTCCATAGTTATCATCTGGAGCCTTCTGCTAGCTTAGCAATATTGCATAATTTTCCTTGTCTGCCATTTAAAGAAAGTATCTCAAGGATTCCCGGTTTTTGCTGCTAGAGTCACTGCTCACTGCGAGAGACTGCACTGCCCCATGTACTCCTGGCAGAAATACAAAGGCACTGTTGTAACATACTGAACCAGCACCATAAAAGCCAGTATAGACAAAGTCAATGCAGGGAGACTTCTAATTTCATTAAGTAAGGTCAACATTTGTGAGGCTCTTGTAAGTCAATTTCTGCTTCTGAAATGAGACTTGGAGAGCAAGATTCTTTGGAGACAGGAAAACTCAGAAGGCTTTTAGCCCACCTGGTTGCTTTTTTGTGGAATGCACTGTGTATGGGTTGTAATATTGCTTCCAGTAACAGTGTTGCACACTTAAAAAAAAAAAGAAGTAAACTCATTTTCATTAAAGGCTTCATAAAGTGACCATAAGCAACATGTAGATGTATGAATACAGGGGTACTATACAAGTCATATGCTTCCAAAAGTTTTCAACATCTTCAGAACTACAATAACAGAATTCTCAGCTTGAAGTAATACAATACACTGTTGTGGTTTTTCTGTCAAGAACTTGTTAAAAAGAGCATTCCTTTGCATACTATTCATATGTTCAGATTATTTCATACCTGACTAATGGTCTTTTCCATCTGTACCAAACCCAAGTTGGGGAGAGTGCTTTTAATAAAATCAACAATAGTTTCTAGGTTCTCATGTTGCAGAATCAAGGGCTTGTGGCTTCCCAAAAGGCTTAAAGCCACTTTAAATATAGCCTCTGATCCTTGAAGAAAGAGCATATCTGTGAAAACAAAGAAAAAACAGAGTACATCAAGCAAGCACATCTTTTGACAAGTATATTAAAACAGTAAAATGTCCAAGGACAACAACTTCTCATAGGAGCGATCTGGAGGCTGGATACACTGTGCCAGACGCATGCTTTTGTTAGTGCAGCTATGGCTTTAGAAGTTTTGTAGGATCAAGATTATTACTGTGAATAGCACACTTGACTAACACAATCAATTATTAATTTGTTCAATGAGTCTTCATCCAAAAAATCCAACTCAAATTTAAGCTAAGTACACAATAAACCAGGCAGTCAAGTTTGTCAGTGTAGCCACCTTTTGTGCATGTACTAGTTTTGTGAGCTTTTTTCTTTTGAGATGTTCATGGGAATCTGAATTATAGAATTCTAATCCCAACGCCATTTAAAAATCCTAATACAACAGGCAAAAACAACACCTGAAGACATAACCGAAGATCTGAAGTTCTGTTCTTTTCTCATCTGGTGGAGAAAGCTACAAAATCTCAGTTAATAAAACATTGAGCACATGAGGCTAAATGTGCACTTTCCTACAGCCTCAAGTTTCATGTGCATGTGCTTATTTTTAGTATGTGTCTCAACCACTTATGATAATATTCTCATAACTACATTAATAAGTACCCTGCAATCTCAGTAATACAGCTTAAGCATTAATATTGCAGGTGGCCCTGCAAAGACAGCACCTGGCATACATTCAAGCACACTGAAACCACAGTATATAGTGACTTTTCAACGCAACTTCCTTTTTTTTTTCCCTTTTCCTTTACAAATTGCCTGTGTCTTTATAGAGGAAAGAAATAGAAGACTGCAATGAAAGCATCAGAGAAGAAACCCATCTTCACAAACCCATCTGTCTACAGTATAAACAGCATTGCCCTGCATTTGACTTTCCTGCTACTATAACTCAGAATCTGCTCCTGGTTTTATTGAGGGACTCGCTACAGGCAAAAGCATCTAACATACAAAACAATACTGACAGAGGTGGAAAAGGAAGAGAAGATAATGTGGTTTTATTCCATATTTCCTAAATATATTTTATTTTTAAAGGGCTTCTCTCTTGTTCTTTCCCTTCTTTGTATTCAAAGCTGTGAATGAAGTCATAATCACTTACAAAGTAGCACAATGACACCAAATAAACAGTATGTCTTCATGATTAAAAAAAAAAAAAAGAAAGAAAGAAGAATAAAGAAAGAGAAAAAAAAAAACCACCACCACACAGTAAGGGAAACAACTACTAGCAAAACCACAGGTATCTCTGATGTAGTGAAGAACATATGCAAACACTCGCTAACTGCCTTTCTTAGTAAAAGCAACCTCTCCAAATTTGTATCAGAATGAAATTCCCCCTTGTGCTCTTTTGCCTGTAACGCTGAAGCTATAGCTCGTTTCACTTCTCTCTCTTTCTCTCTGAGAAAGCAAAGCACAAGTAATAGCTAACCGTAAATCTTGCACTTTGCCACCCTTTGTCCTAAAAGTGGTATAAAATTTTTCAACTCTGATTCAATGTGGAGTCCAAAGGCAGGAATGATTGAAAAGTGGTACAGAGCAGGCATCTGCCTCGATGCTCTATTGAAACTGAAAACTATGGGAA